TAAAATAAATAACTCTAATTTAAAGAGTTAGAAAGTCTTAAATCTATAGTCCATATTAACACTAATTTAAGATTTATGCCTTATTTAACTTCCCAAATTCTTTTCTAAAATTCTCGTACCCTAATGAACTATTTTTTTTATCCTCAATTCACTTCTAGTATCACAATTTCATCCTTCTACATTCTAAAAATTCATCCAAAATAAATTAAAAATTTTAGAATTATCCTGAAGCCTCAAATCACCTTTCTATAACCTCAAAATACCTATTCATACTTAAATAAATATTTAATAATCATAGATTTATCCCTACGTCTCAGATTCCACATAAATTCAACCATATAGATCTAGATTTTAACTCAAAATTCTTAAACATGAGTTTCAACCTTAAGAAAATATTCTATAATATTTACTATATCCCTAAGAATTTTAACCTATATTTTTAATCCATCATATCATCAGATTAACTATCCTATAGAAAAATCCTAATCAAAATATTTACTCTATCCTACAAAATAATCATATCACTAGAAAGCTAATATTATTTAGAAAATAACTATAAAATTAATTTTGTAATTAAATAAATTTTTAAATGCTAATCTAAACAGGAAAGTTAGAACATACCTGAAGAAAAAAGAAAATAATCCCCCCTTGCGAGAAAATGCCGAGCAACGTGAGAGGAAGAGAGAAAAATAATATAAAAATGGGATTGTGAGTCCCAAAATTATATTAAAAAAAAACTATAGGTTTGAATTTAATTATTCAAACCTTTGGGCCCAAAGTTGCAATTTTCTCTAAATTGCATCTTAGCCTCTCATGCTTCCTAATGCACACACCCCCTCCTTTTTATACATGAAGGCACCTCTTTCTTCTTCTTAACCTTCCTTCTTTTTTTTTTTTTACCTTTTTTTTTTTTAACACACACATAAAAAAAATTATTTATGTATTATATCTTAACTAAATATTGCTTATGTGGTTTTAAATTTAAATTTTTAAATTCATAATTAAATACCTAATCATAATATTATTTCTAAATAACCTCAAATAATATAAATTCCTATTATTATCATTTTTTTCCTCAAAACCTAAATTCCACAATTTTTTTATTATATAAAAATCAGGATGTTACAGAATCGGTGGAACAGTCTCTCATTAAACAAGTGAGACAATAAACATAAATAAATCCAAGCAAACCTTCAAACTTTAATGGTAGCCTTGCCATGTGGATTTTAATTTTTTACTCCTCTTCTTAAGCAAACTTTCACCTCTTATGATCATATAGTGCATAAAAATTCAATTTCTCATGAGAATGCAAATATTTCACACATTAACATGTCAACTCACTTTATTGCACTTTATATTTTCTCAATTCACAATTAATTATAGAACTCCACATCACACATAATCATTGAATTTTTCATATCACTCAATCATTGAACTCCATTTACACACAATCATTGAACTCTTCATAATACACAATCATTGAACCCCATTCACAAAAAATCATTAAACTCCACATACCACATAATCATTGAACTCCTTATTCACATAATTATTGATTTTTAAATATTTAATGCCACACTTGCATTTTAATAATTTCACATATCTCAATTATAATATTTAAATCAATAAATCAATGAATACACAGAAGTACAAGAAAAAATTCTATCGATTATCTTAAATCTTTAAAAGATCAAAAGTATTGCTCCTCAATTAATTACTCCGAAAGCTTTCACAAATCACAAATGGTGCCAAATGTGATCACTCTTCATTTAATCACAATATAAATCATCAATATTCCTCTTTGAAATTTTTTTCAGTATTTATCTGTATGCTTTAACATTCTCACCATTTAATTTTCCTATGTATAAAGGTATCTATAAGGTTTATTAGCTTTCTATAACTCCATTAACTTCGTTGACCTTTCAAATAAGCATTAATGGAGTCACATTACTCCATCTACTTTATTTATGGAGGATTTTCATGCATTTACTACTCCTAACTACCAAAAACGCGTAGGGCCATAAATGCTAAATTTAAACGACCTAAAAAACTCTTATTAACTTTATTTAAATCAATGTATTCATATTATAGCCTCAATAGATCAAAAATTATTTTTCTAAACTAAACCATAACTTCTAACTTCAAGAAAAATGGAATTAAAAAAGAGATTCAAACTTAGAGAACTTACCTCTAGTGTTTAGAAGTTTCAAAATGCTCTTAAAGCTTTCAAATCTCAAGCCTTAGCAGAGCTCCTTGCGTTCCCATCATTTTCCCTTTTGTTTTTATCATGTTCTACATCAGTTTCACGACTCTATTTCTACAGAAAATGTACCGTGCACTATGGCGCATGTCCTCACACGCCGTGACATATGCTATAGAGAGAGATCTCCATGCTCTGACTGGCTTATGCACCGTGGCATCTTATGCACATGCTGCGGCATGTGACGTAGAGCCTTTTCTCTTTATTTTTCTCACTTTTTTACTCTTGGATGGCCCGATTGACTCAATCTTAAGGCTGAAATTATAACCCAAAATACCTATTAGCTCTCTGTAATCACATATCATACTAATTTATGTAATTAACTTTGTTCATTCAACTAATTGGGAATTAAATTTTCTAGGATGTTACAATATATGTGATATACATTGCCATGGATAATTATGAATAATTTGGAAAGAAATGATTTGTATGCATTGTAGAGTAATGAAGGGAATTATAAATCATAACATTAAAATACTAAGGATTTAAAGAATTACTTTGAAAGCTATTTTATTTTGCCTTATTAGATTGACCATGTGAATTATATTCTAATAAATGATTTTGTACTCCCTACTCAGTATTTACGGATATTATTTTAGAAGGAGTCACATCCCCTGTTATGGTTAATGATGGATTTTTATCCTTTAATTAAATGACTTAATTGGATTAAATATATTGGTATATTGTTTTGTTTCTAGAGAATTATTCTGGGATTGAAACCTAGTTATCATGATGTGATAGACATGGATTGTTCTTTAGTACCACATGATAATTGTTAGTCCTTAAAATACCCATTCTTATGGCAGGAAAGGGTAAAAAGGCAACATATATAACTTATTATTTATTGTCCACTATCCTTGGCTGGAAGTGGAAAGAGAAAATAGGTGAAGCTATTCACTAAATTATAGTGGTTAGACTATGAAAGTTGGATAAAACTCCATGATCCCCCTCTAAAATGGAGAGAATTCATAGCAAGAATTGCATAAGGAAGCATATGGTACTCTCTAAACTATAGCCTATGGGTTATAAAAGTGGAGTGTGAAGGTGGGGATGGTAGTTGAGGTAAAGCATACGTATTGATTATGTGTTGAATTATGAATTGGTAGGCTTGGAAACTCATTTTTGAAACTACTAATTACTCAATTGTTAATATTGAAGAACCCTAAATTGGAATTATTTTCCATATATTATATTTTTGGTAGCATGCACCTCCTTTTTATAAATTACATTATATTATTGTATGCCTATTTAGATTAGAATTTTTTCTTGGTTATTGAGATTTCTAATCTCACCACTCATTCAAACATTTTTTAGGTGAGAGTTATAGCTCACCTTCTACTGAAACAAAACTTGTTTGACTAAGTTATATGGTCATTTAATTGCACTCTTATGCATGTAATTTTAGGCTTAGTGTCCTTTTTGTGTTTGTTGTAAATTATTGGAATGGCGATACCCCTTGTTTTGGTCAATTAGTGCACAAAGTTGCCTTCTATTGCATTTTGTGGGTTTTGTCCGTAATAGGTCTTATTGTTGCAGGGAAAGCCCCCTCTTCTATGATAGACCGCATTGGTTGGCTTGTAAGTGAATTTCCTTAAGAGAGGATCCTGTTCTAAGCTTAATTTTGTGTTTAGTTTTAGAATTGTATAAATATTAGGTTAGTTTTAATTAAATCTTATCTTTATTTTGAGGGTGTTACAAGATACCTGTGAGTAATTAAAAAAGAAAGATAATATTAAAAATTTAACAATTAAATATCCGCCTTGTATTAAAAATCAATCAAATAAGACTTTAAAACATTGTCCACATAATAGAAGGAAATGGATTAATATATTGATATATGGACTTCCCCCCTTAAAATGACGCTACAATCAAGCAATGGAAGATAAGTTTTGCAAATGCCACTAAATTTTTATATTTTTTATTAACTTTTCAAATGAAATTATTTTTACAATATACTTTCTCCGGTCTTTAATATAGAACACTTTCAATCATTTTATACATTTTAAAAAAATTATCATAAAAAATGAGATATACCCTTGGCTTTAAATAGTGATATAACTACATTAAATACTTTTACGTTAATCAAAAAAAGATAAAAATAAAAAAATAATTTAATTATTATAATATGTCCTATATTTTGAATCAAAAATTATTTTTAAAAATTATCATACAAATAGGAACAGAGAGAGTATGATTTACAAAAGAATTTAATATGTGGTTTGATTTAAAATAAGTCACATTGTACACATTTTTTTTATAACAAAAATAGAAGACTTCATGCCAAATAATACAACACGAAGTTTCTTTAGTTCTAACCATGGTTGAAGACTCCCCTTGCCTCATAAGAAACGCAAATGAGTGTTGGACTCTGGTGTGTTTGTTGACGATTGTAGTAGTTTTGATGTTGGTCATGGTATACCTGTTTCCTACGCAGAACACTACAATGGTTCTAGCCAATAGACTGATGCTGGTACTTCCAATCTTCCCGATGCTTTTGACATGGGAACAATTCTTGGTTTATTATAAAATTCTAATTTTTTTTTAACCAGCATAAAATTATAAAAATTAAAAATATTAAAAAAATTATATAAATAAAAAAGAAAATTTAATAAAATTATGGAGATTAATAATTTTATATATTTTTTCTTTGGGGGTTCGTGGACGTCCAGCCGAGCCCGGATCTAAAATGATACTTTCATTAATGATTCGATAAAGATGAGAATCCCAATGGTCTGATCTCTGTTCCGGTAAATCAGCAGGTAAATAATAAATCATAGAAATGGACTGTCACTGGAAGAGATTGAGGGGGTTCGGGGAATCTTCTCCACAGATACTCGCGAAGCTGCGGCTTTTTACTCTCACATTATTCATAGAAAGCAAAGCTGATACCATACCTTGAATTCTCATCTCTCTGTCGGCAAAGTGTAAAAGGAGGGGAACAAAAGAATATCAACCTTTGGGAAGTTGGCGGCCTAATTCGGCAACTATAAGTACTGTTATCGAGGTTTTTTCTGCTGGCTCTGTGCTTCTTCTTCGGATACATAATTTGAGTTTCAACTCTGTTCTTTCCCGAAGGTGATTTCTGCCTCTGGTTATTTTCCAGCATTACTCAATCCTCCCTCACCCAAACTGTTACTAAATTCAGAGAGTCACTGGTTTCAGCGGGTTGAGTAAAGTTTGATCATTTGTATCTTACTTCTTAGGCCGATGGAGTCCCGGCATTTTTGGAGATTGGAGTTGTTAAAGATGATTCAGGGGATAGATGTTTCTTAACTGTGCAATGTTTATTCACGTCAATCTTTGCGTTTTTGTGCATTTCAGACAATGGGTTGGATTGAGAAGTCAACGATGCTCTTTTTGGCTTTGATTCTTCTGGTGCTTGCAACCTTTCAGGAAGTAATGTCCGATGAACACCAGCCTCTCTCAAAAGTTGCCATTCATAAGACAATATTTGCTCTTCATGAACATGCTTATATCAAAGCCACTCCCAATGTCCTTGGATTGAGGGTAAGCCTTTTTTTTTTTTTTTTTAATTAGAGATTTTACTATGTCTCACTCTTCTTATTAGTTTTACTCTGACGCTATAGAATCTCCCTTTGTTTTGGGATTCCTTGCGATTATGAGACAAGTTTTTGTTGCAAAAGTTGATTTGGGATTTTTTTTCCCCCTACCTTTCACAAATTCACAGTTTAATGGGCAAAATACAGATTGGGTTAAACTGGAATATAGTAATCCTAAACCATCACGTGATGATTGGATCGGTGTATTTTCTCCGGCAAATTTCAGGTACATATCATTCATGACCTTATTTAACTCTAGTCATTCATAACAATTCAATGGTGTAGAATGTAGATGCATTAATTGAAATGAATTACATTTCACAATGTCCAGCGCTTCTACCTGTCCTGGGGAAAACAGAATGGCTGGTCCTCCATTCTTGTGTTCTGCACCTATTAAGGTTCAAGTGACCCAAAACACTCACTTTTCTTTCTTTTATTGCTAAGAAGAAGATTTATAAGGTCTGATATGGAACTCTCTTTCTTATTTTACAGTTTCAGTATGCAAATTTCTCCAGTAAGGAGTACAGAAAAACAGGAAAAGGTTTCTTGAAGCTTCAGCTCATTAATCAAAGATCAGACTTCTCTTTTGCTTTGTTTACGGGTGGTTTATCAAATGTATGGTTAGGAATTCATTTCTATAATTTTCTTGTTTATGCAGTCAGCTATATTTTACTTGTAGGGATAGCTACAACTGGTGAAATCTTTACCTGAAAGCCAAGCAACTAGTTTTTTCCCTTCTCTTTCCTTTTCAAGGTTCTGATTGCTTAACGGATTTCTTAATTACACAAGGTTTGTACTAGAAAGACATGATGTATCATCAGCTTGGATTTCTTTTTGTCATCGTAAAGATGATAGCACTGAGTAAAAGCATGGTTGAAGCTGATGTCTCTCAGTGCCTCTTTTGGGTGTCTCACTGTCCATCTCTCTTTGTTAGAATCTTCAAACTGAGCATCACCTTTCTGAATTATTGTTGGATATGGCGGCAATTTTGTAATCCTTTCTTAACAAGTCTGAACCATAATGTGAAAAAAGATGCACCTTTAGATTTTCCCTGTATAACTACTTCTATTGAACGTTCTTCTCTACTTTGTTAGTTTAAAATTGGTTTTGAACAATAATCCTTTTCTTTTTTTTCATCTTTTACTTTGTTAATTCATTGTATACATAATGCTTGAGAGTTCTGAAGTACAGTTTACATTACGAATTCTGTCTTTCTTCTATTAACAGCCCAGACTAGTTGCAGTTTCAAACAAAATATCCTTTGTGAATCCAAATGCTCCAGTATATCCACGATTAGCACAAGGGAAAAATTGGAATGAGGTAAGAATAATCTTTATTAATTTTAATATATACTTATGGTGCGACAAATGTTCATTTAATTGCAACTCAAAAATCCTCCTTTGTTATGCTATTAGCATCTGAATGTGGGCCTAAATGACTGAATTAAGAATGTCTGACAGTTTACCAGTAAAATTATATACATCTTCACATTTTTACCAGATAACTGTAACTTGGACAAGTGGATATGGGATTGATGAAGCTGAACCTTTTGTTGAGTGGGGTGTTGAAGGTGGAAACCGTGTGGCATCTCCTGCTGGGATCCTGACTTTTGACCGTAATACCATGTGTGGTATGCAATTCTTTTATGCACCATTCAATTGTAAACTATGTGATGTTAGCTTGTTCATGAGTCAGATAGAAGTTCTTTATGATGGCAAACCTTCTTTTTCTTGATGCCATAATGCAATGCAATGCAAAAAAAAAAAAAAAAGATAACTATATTAGCCATTTCAAAAGCTAGCTGGCAGATTGTACTTTTCATTCAAATTAAGGCAAGGGATGTTCTAAACAGGAAATGGTGTGAAGTATCTAATTCATCTACATATATACTTAATAGGTGCACCAGCAAGGACCGTGGGATGGCGTGACCCTGGATTCATACACACAAGTTTTTTGAAGGAGTTGTGGCCCAACAGAAGGTCTGCTATGCTTTACCTCTACTGACACCTCACCTCACCTCACTTCACTCTTACCTACCTGAGCTAGCCTCAGGTTGCTTGAACATAGATAATAATTTGTAGTGTTTCTGTTAAATAATAGTATTTCTTAAGCAAAAGCAAAAAAATTGAATATTGCTTTTCACAACACAAAATTATGTCCAATGCAAATTAATATCAAATGAAGAACAGAACATATCTCAGATAACTTAAATTGTTTGATGAGATCCGTTTAATGATGGTTATGGAAATAACATGTGGATTTTGAGTGAATATGTGCCACTTTTATTCTTTTATCCTTCATGACTTGCTTTAGTAAGAAAGCAAGGTCTTTATCAGTTGATTGTAGCTGCAGCTTGAATTTTGACTTATGGTGTGAATGATAACATTGCTAATTTATTTGCAGGGGTTAATTGTACATGACACTAAGAATTTCGCTTTTACTTTTTTTCAGGTACGCATACAGGCTTGGACATAGATTATTTAATGGTACAATTGTTTCAAGTCAGGAATACCGGTTCAAAGCACCTCCTTTCCCTGGGCAAAATTCACTGCAGCGTGTAGTCATATTTGGTGACATGGGAAAGGTTTTTATCTTCCCCCTATTTCTTTTTATTTTTTGGGAATTTTTTTTTGTCTGAATACAATTCATTTGATGCATATCACTTACATGCATGAGACTGATTAGTTGTTTGGATCTCATAGTTTTTGCTCCACTATGAGGATAGGATACTTCTCTGTTACATGTCATTCATATTATTATTATTATTTTTTGGACAACATTCATGTTGGTTGAATGCTGCAGATTATACACACACAATTTTATATATGGATAAATTATAATTGTTCTGATTTACATTTTCAATATTCTTTCCAAGAAAAGGTGTTATCCAGTTAATTGTTATCTTAAGTTTTAATTTGATTTTCCCACAAGCAGGCTGAAGCTGATGGTTCCAATGAATATAACAATTTCCAGCCTGGATCACTCAACACTACAAAGCAAATCATTGATGACTTGAAGGACATCGATCTAGTCTTTCACATTGGTGATTTATGCTATGCTAATGGATATATTTCACAGTGGGATCAATTTACTTCACAGATTGAGCCCATTGCATCAACTATACCTTACATGATAGCGAGGTTTGTCTGTCATGCTATGCATGCATTATAATTCTTAATGTTTTCAGGGGTTCAACTTTCTTTTATGTACTGCTTCCATAATATTGCTTCAGTGGCAACCATGAGCGTGACTGGCCAGGAACTGGATCATTTTATGGCAACCTGGATTCTGGAGGAGAATGCGGTGTACTGTCTCAGACAATGTTTTATGTTCCTGCTGAGAACAGGGAAAAATTCTGGTATTTTATATTTTAAAGTTAACCCCCCTTTTTTTGCGTAGAACAAATTATGTGTTGCATTCGCGGCTATGTGTTAGTGATGGTTGATTGGTTAAATTCACCTGCATGCCATGTAGATGTAATTTGTTAGTAATATGCATCTTCTTTGGATATCAAATTTGTATTTCGCAGACATATGTACTGGGGAAAGAAAGAAATGTTCTTCTTCTGCAAGTCAGACTAAAATTGTTTTAACGGGACCCAAATCTATGAAGTTGGTTTAACGAACATTTTTTTGGTGTTCATTAATATGTTCAGTTATGTTAGTTTTTTCAATGACATCGGTCTCATTTTTATCTGGTGAGTCTTTGAAACTGGCGTTTTTTGCCAGGTACTCTGTTGACTATGGGATGTTCAGGTTCTGCATAGCAGACACAGAACATGATTGGAGAAGAGGATCAGATCAATACAAATTCATTGAGCACTGCCTATCATCGGTTGACAGACAGAAACAGCCATGGTTGATATTTCTTGCTCACCGGGTTCTGGGATATTCTTCTGCTAGTTTTTATGTAGCAGAAGGCTCTTTTGAGGAGCCAATGGGAAGGGAGGACCTTCAAATTCTCTGGCAAAAGTACAAGGTTGACATAGCCATGTATGGACATGTCCACAACTATGAAAGAACATGCCCATTGTACGAGGTATGCCTACCCTTGTCCAAAGGCATCAAAACAGACTTGACATTGTAGTTAATGGCATTCAAGTTGCACGTTGAAAACATATATATATATATATATATATGGGCCTGAAACATTTGAAATTATGAGATGATTAGTAATTTGTGACATGAAAGATTAACTGAAGCATTTCTTGCCGAGCCAGAATATCTGCAGAAGTAAAGAGAAGAACAATTACAAGGGCTACTTGAACGGGACGATACATGTAGTGGTTGGTGGAGGAGGAGCATCACTTGCAGAATTTGCCCCCATAAACACGACATGGAGCATCTTTAAAGACCATGATTTTGGATTTGTCAAACTCACAGCGCTTGATCATTCAAACCTCTTGTTTGAGTACAAGAAGAGCAGTGATGGACAGGTTTATGACTCTTTCAAGATATCCAGGGAATACAGAGACATCTTGGTTTGTGCTGTTGATAGTTGCTCGCCCACAACAATGGCATCTTGATTTTGTATTTAGTTTGTTGAATAATATGATGATCTGTGCGGACTTGAGAAGGACAATGTGGTCGGCTATTGAATATTTCAATGATGATGCAAGAAGTGTGAAGGAATGTGTAAATAAGATTGCATGAAATGGATATTTAGTTTACTAAAAAATAAGGTCGACGTATCTTCCCATGGAATTTGCAAAGCGAAGTGAGTTGTTCATGGTGAAACGTGTCTTTCTTTTGATCCAGAATTTAAAATGAGAATATATAATTCTAATAAATATTGAGATTAGGTCTATGGGTCCAGATCCTCTGCTTGTCTCCTTTCTTCTTTTCTCCCCTCATCCCATCTCCATGTTTAATTAATGGGATGAATGGTTTAGATTTAATTTGTTTTACAAAATAATTATCATATAAAAAATGAATAAATTTAAATTGTTAAAATTTGATCTGTACGGTTCATAGTTGTATATTATTATTAGGATTATTTATTTATTTTATTGTAATTATAATCGTATGGATGGAATTTTAACAATTTAAAATTATTTGTTTATTTTTTAATATAATATCATGATAATTATTTTATAAAATAATTAAATCTGAATCGTTCATTTTATTATTTAAGTGTAGGGATGGGATGAGAAAAATAAAAAGAGATGATAATATATATTTGAGGAGAGGATTCTTTGATATTATTATTGCTGCACACATCAATAGCATTTCATTGGTTATTACCATCTACGAATGTTTGCTTGTTCATCGTTGAATTGAGCCACTATCATTGTCTTGTAAATACTGTATTAATTGTTTTAAAAACTTGAACAAAAAGTAGACAAATTTTCTTATGCATTCTCTGAAGTATAATGTGACTTGATATTTAAGGAATTATATAATCGGTATTTTATATTCTTAAATACAGAGTGAAATTTTCTAGCAGTGAAAACTGAAACGTATAAAAAAACATTTTAAATCACTTTCAATCACTTAACTAGCATCAAAGAAGAGCGGTTAACTTACTAAATTTGTCTTAAAATTAAAAAAATATTCTAAGTGTATCTTATCACACACACAGAGGGAGGGAGGGAGAATATTTGAGGATATGTATGAAAACGCTAAATTAGAATTAAATTCTAAAACGCAGGTAAAATTGGATAATGTTAATTAATAATCCTCTACATGTCATATATTAATAGCCAATAAATTTTTTTTAAGAAAACACCTTATAAAAGAGATTGGAAACTGTAGACTATAGAGCAACAAAGTCCAATCCTTATTCATAAGAAGGTTATTTGAAAGAGGGTTTAAATTATGGAGATTTTAACTAGCTTAATAGATCAGTAAGCTCAATTTTACAAATTTATTTTAAAATTTCAGTCTTTTTTTAACTGATAATACTAGGTAAAAAAGTACATAATTTTTAATGTTCATAATGTTTATTCTAACATTATTTTTTAAAGAAATTTACTTCATACGTTCACATGAAAATAAATTTTTTAATACAAAAAATAAATTAATTATATTCTTCCATGCCGGCTCACATTGGGCCGGTACATAATCTGTTTGGCCTTAAAAATTCTAACTACAAAATACTTTCTTCAGTCTTATTTATAAAACACATATTAAAAATAATTTTTAATTTAAAATATAAAATATCTTGTAATAATTAAATTATTTTTTTTAATTTTATTATTTTTGAATTAACATAAAAATATTTAATGCAGTTGTATTATTTTTTTAAAGTTAAATATAAAATTAAAAATATATATTGTTTTTTATAATAAAAAAAAAACTTAACTGTTTTCGAGATGTCTAAAACAATTATAAGCGTCCTATGCACAGGAGGGAGTAGTAAACGTCTTTCAAGGTTTCGAGTTTGGTCTTTTGGTGCTCGTCGTGCTCTACTCAACCCTCTTCGATTTGTGTTTTCTGAGGTGCAAAGGCAATATGCAGGTGTAAGTTCTGCATAAATTCTCTGATTTTTTTTTTTGGCCGGTTAAGAGGATTCTCTTTCCATTTTGTTTTTGGAAAAGTTTAGTGGTTCCATGTCGCAGTAATCCCAAGAACTCTTTTTCTTCAGTAGCTCTATAAATTACAGTCAAAGACTTGTAATACTCAGCGGGTATCAAATATCCGAATTATATTTCTGTCTCCTACTACGATGCAGGCCAGTGATAGGTTTAACATCAATTCCCAACTTGAGCATCTCCAAGCTAAATATATTGGAACTGGGCATGCGGATTTAAATAGATTGTGAGTCCTAATTCCTTGAATTCGTTTTCTCGTTAAATTTTCTCCCTGAACTCTTCGTAGTGTTTAATTTGTTCGTTCTCTCTCATTTCCCCCTTCGATATAGTGAGTGGGCGGTGAACATTCAGCGTGATAGCTATGCATCATATGTTGGCCGCTACCCTATACTGGCATACTTTGCTATTGCTGAAAATGAATCGATTGGAAGAGAACGCTACAGCTTCATGCAGGTTCTCTTCCTTCTCTCAATTTTCCGGTTTTCCCCCTGTTAATGAGTTAGCTAATTGCTGTATAAATTATGCGTTAGCCCGAATTTTGCGATTCGATTGTTAATGCCATAGTGTTTTTCCGGCTTTACTCCCTTAAGTGATCCATATCTATATTCATTAATATGTATTCTCTTTTGTTCGTGAGATTTATACGGGCAAACAGAATACCAGCACACTTTTATTATTAAAAAAAGAGTTTATCAGAATGCCAGCACTCTCTGTGCGCGCGCTTGTTTGTTTTATTATTTTATTTGTAGCATAGATCTCTATTTTCTGCTGTGCCATAGAAGAAACAGTACTTTCTTCATTTTGGTTTGTATATGGCCATTGACTGACAGGGTCTTTGGTTCTATGGACTGAAGTTGCATATTGGTAACTTGTTGCAGAATTACATCTCATTAGCTGGCATCAACTCAAAAGAGAATTGGTTTACCTGAAACCTTGAGAATTCAAAGTCTACTTTAGATGAATACGTAAAATGGTGAAGTGAAAAGATACATGAAGAAGGAGGCGTTAATATACACTTTTTTGTGTCTTTTAGAAAATTTTAGGAGGAGCCAGATGATATGTATTTGCTCTTATGGAATTTATATTTCAAGTTTTGGAATTTCAAAGAAGCATTGAATTCTGAAAAACAAGGCAAAAGAGATATTAGGTGTTTGAAGATAAACAGGCCCTTTTATGATTTTGAAAAAAACCGTCCGAGTCTAATGAGAAGTGGTTTGATTGAGGTTAATATTGGCACCTTATGGCATGGGATTTTGGGATAGGGTCACAAAACGGATTCCTACTCATCAAATTGTTGTTGTTGTTTTTTTTTTTTTTTGGTGGGGGGTTGATTTGTTATCTGTTGTATATTGATTCTTTTTCGTTACAGATAAAGCTAATGCTATGGGAATAGGCAGTGGGGTCAAGGGGCCTGAGTAGGGATCGCTGGATTAAAGACGCCAAACTCATTGTGGTTGCCATGTGAGCTATCAGTTCATTGGCCATATAAAGCATTTTAATCAAGTATCACTTTTTCTTGTCCTTTGTATTTATGTATTGCAAAGTTTGTGTAGAGAACCCAAAGTCTGTCCCCCTTGTTAACTTTTCTTCCGATTTCATGAGAAGTTTGCAAGTTGACCGTGAGGCTTAATGACTATCCTTTAAAGAAGACTGCCTATTTCATTCACCAATGTTATTTGTTATTATATATTTCAAGCTATTGAGTGACAACAAAGTTTCTCTCCGGTAAACATCCTAAATGAATTAGTTGTTGCATTTTTCATCAGACAAGTTCTGTTTTCTGTGCAGAAAATGCTCCTGCCTTGTGGCTTGCCTCCAGAAAGGGAAGAAGATTGATAATTACTATATGGATCACATAATGGATCATTACTGGCTGTAGCATTGGATCATTTGTCATACTATGTTGTTCGGATGATCGTACCACTTGTATGGCACTGATTAGAGTTTGTTTCATCCTGTTAGAGTTCTAGCTGCTCAAGCATTTTTCACTCTGGAGCTCGGAAATTTAGATCAGGGGATAATGCGCTTACTGCTTTGTTTGTTTATAGTGCTATTATTTCCCGAGGGCAGACCCTTTTTAAATTGATAATGTTATGTTAAGCGTTGGGTTATGTTTTGAGACATATCAATACTGCCTCGGCCATATTTCTATAAAGCAAATAGCTTTTGTTTCATCTCAATTTGATAAGGTGAATCAGTGATGGTTTTTGCGAATGCGTTTCTCAATATGATAGGAACATTGTAATGGAGAGACTAAGAAACGAAGCCAATAAAATTGTATTTTGTTGAAGGATTTGACTTAGTTCGAATGCAATGAAAGGCCACGGCCATAAATTGAGAGATCACCAATCCTTTCGGACAGATCACTTATGTCATTGACATTTTTAATGTAGGAAAAAAAAGCTCATTCTTTTCTACAGGCAAGATAATGAAATAGATCTTGCGCCTTGAGGTCACTTCTAACGTCGCTAGCTCTGATTGATGTCAATGTCTTGAAAAAAAAAAAAAAAAAAATCTCCAATGCAATTCATTCTACACCTCATCGTTGGTATCTTCCACCTCCAGTGTTTCAATAGATGAAATGTTGTAATAAACCATCAAAATTTTGGATTGGAAACTTCTTTTCTAGTAGTACGGAGAAGGCAAATTGTTGTCTTGATTTACAGGCGAATACAAGTGGCTTAATATCAAGCCATGCAAGAAGGAAACGGTAAACTACAGAAACCTTTTAAATGTCAGTAACAGGACAGAATGAGTCATGTAAGGGGGAAATCTTGATTGGGTCATCTAACCACATTACCAAAAACAGACAACATAAAGAGCTTCAAGGTGAAAAAGCAAATGGACGTCAATCAAACAGCAGATCGGTGGTGAACCAGCGTGGACCAAAATATCCGTCAGGTAAAGATGACTGGGTTCCAATATAAATACTTGGAACGTGAGCTATCTTGTGCCAATCATCTCCTGTTTCCTTCTCACATCTCCTTTGTAACTCAGGGCAAACGTGGATGTGCAAAGTTTTCAAATTGCCAAGGCTTTCAATGCTCACTGGGAGTGATATTATCTTGGGGCATTCTGAAATAAACAATGACTTGAGCAGCCTAAAGCTTCCCAACCAATCAGGCAAAGATGCTAGATTAGGAAGATCAAATAAAGACAAGGATTGCAGAGTGGTGATATGCTGTAAAGCCTCATGGAAATCTTCCACCTCCGGGCAACTTCCAATCATCAAATCTTCCAGGGAAATGAGGTATTGAAAACCTGCAGAAAATTTGAATTTTGGGTACCAGCCAATTTTTAATCTTTTCAGAGATTTCAGCTGCTGCAACACTTGCTCTGTCAGTGGTTCAAGGCTTTGACATAGTTCAATATGCAATTCTTCAAGAGCATTGGAGTTAATAAGTCCAGTTGGAAGTACATGGAGCTTGGTATAGTCGCAAATGTGGAGCTCCTTAAGGCAAGTGAGGCCTTGAACCATCCCATCTGGAAAGGAAGTCAATTCCTCATTGTAACGAAACCAAAGGGATTGTAGACTGTGAAGATTATGAATTGAACCCAGCAGTGATTCGCTGCATTTCTCTAGTATTTTTAGTTCAATCATAGAGGAAAGGTAGGGCAATTCCAGCTTTGGACATTGAGCAATTTCTATCATGGAAAGATGAGGAAACATGTTTTCTCCATCCTTCAATAGTTTGACGAGGTTTGGTAGCTTATTGATCTTCAAAATTTCTAGAGCTTTAAAACCTCTTGGAACTTCACCATCATAACATTCATCATCAATGTATTGCACATGAAGCATGTTATATATATCTAGTCTCTTCAAAGATGGCAGTTTCCCCAACAGTGTAAGGTGTAAACAGTTCTTGCAATCAACAAGTTCTATAAGATATAAATCTTTGAGGGTAGGGCTACCCATCCATTGTGGGAAGTTAACTCCCATGTATGCTTCCACTTCCAAGGTCTTAAGCTGTGTATGAGGTTGAAGCATTTCAAGAATCTGCTCCACATCTTCCTGCAGTTCTGATTCCTCATTTCTTTCCCATGACAAGACCAAATTGTTAAGGTGCTTGTCCGCCAAATTGGCTTCCTTGGCCTCCATTATAGTTGATACCCTCTCCAAGTGCCTGATGTCAAGCTTTCCTTCAAGCTTCAAGCTTCCTAACTCTGCCAATAGGAATCCTTTTTCCTTGCCAACAATATATATGTTTAAGGTCCTCAAGGAAGTTAACTGACCCATCTCAGGGGCCAAGCTGGATAAAAACATACACCCTTCCAAATATAGATGTCGGAGGGCTTTTAAGCATTTTAGATGATCAGGTAAATTTCGAAGATAATGACAATTGTCCAATCTCAAAATCTGCAAATTCCACAACGCACAAATGGAATCTGGGAGCGTTTCAAAGGCACCATTAGACAGGTTTAAATACCTTAGATGCTTCAAACGGCCAATTGAGGGTGGCACCTCTTTCAGATGCATGATGTCAAGTACCCGCAAAGAATAACATTTCAGCAATGCATCAGGAGGAGAGTAATCACTATAATAGATAGGCGTTATATAGGTCTTCAAGGATTTGAGCTGGTGTAAATTCAATGAAGGCTTCCCATCAGACGGTACACCAACATAACGCGAGAGATGTCGAGTTTTCTCAGACAGATTAGTTGTTGCATTGTTAGATGTAATAGAGCTGCACACTTCCCCCATTACAGACTGAGTAAGATCGTGAACCAAATCATGCATTTTGAAGCTTGTAATGTTGCCAAATTCATCTATTCTAATATCTTGGAAAAATGATTTGCAATGTAATTCGTTCCACACTTCATCTCCAATATGTTCCACTTCCAAACTTCCATTGGATGAAATGAAGCCATTAGCCATCCAAAGATGAATTACAAACTGCTTGCTTATTTCTTCATTTTTAGGGAATACTGCGCAGAAGGCAATGCATTGTCTCAAATTTACTGGTAAATTCAAATAACTTACTTTCAAGGCAGGCAATATAGAATTCTCGTCTTGTGGTAAACTCCAGATCTTGCTCTCCTTGACATAGAGCCAATCCTTTTCCACACTTTTAAAGCGCAAAAGGCTACCAAGTGCTTGAGCAGCAAGAGGCACTCCCTTAGATTTCTTGCTTATCTCCTTCCCTATGGCCACAAGCTCCGGACGTTCCCCTCTGTCTGGTCCAAAAGCTCGATGCTTAAACAATTCCCAACAATCATCTTCAGACAACATTGATAATGGATGAGGAGGCGTCGTTCCCATGATAGACGCCGCATTTGTAAGACGAGTGGTGACCAAAATTGAAGCACCTTTTGATCCACAAGCCAATACACACTTCAACTTATACCACTTCTCTTGGTCTTCGTTCCACACATCATCTAAAACAAGCAAGTATCTTTTTTTTCGAAGCAGATCTTGAAGCCTTCGTTGCAGTGGCTCTAAGTCTATATCCTCACAAGCATGCCCAGATGCTGATTCAATAATGGCCTTTGTCATTCTCTTCGGTCTAAAATCTTCCGAGACGAAGACCCAAATTCTTAGTTCAAAATGATCGATCACTCTCTCATGATTGAAGACAAGTTGGGCAAGCGTAGTCTTCCCTAGACCACCCATACCTACAATAGAGTAGACTGATACATCCTCAACATTAGAAGCATGATCAACCAAGAAGTCTACAATTTTTTCCTTATCTCCTTCTCTTCCATAGACTTGAGGTTGGGTAACGATTGAGGTGGTTTGGCGCCATTCCATGACTTCAATTCTTTCAGTAACTGTCTCGCGCAAATGAAACTTTAGTCTTTCCTCAGCAAGCTCATCAAACCTCACTCTTATCTCTCTCATTTTCTTGGCCATTTTGTAACGGGAAGTAATATGTTTGGGGTGCAAAGAGGATAAGCAAGAACATTGTACCTTGTCTGGTGACCCACCCTTAAGTCCTTGGCATTCCAACCCAAGAGCTTCTGTTGAATATTCATCCAAGATGTCATCAAGCAAATAAGCTGCATTTGAAGCTTCTGAAGCCAATTCTTGAGAGCTTTGTTTGTGAGTTGCTTCTCCTCAGCATCTTCAAGCACAGCCTTGATTGTGGTGAGTATGCTGGAAAGGCGTTTCGACTCTTGATTGATCCCCAGAAACAGTCCCAGCTCATTCTGAATGAGTGAGCTCAAATTCTGAATCGCGACTTCCACTACAGCCTCTGCCATAATCTATTTTGGAAGATTAAAAGAATCTAATGATGAGGTTGAACACTTGCCAATGAACAGATCAGGCAAGATGATAAGCAGATCCTTTATGGGTCAAAAGTCAACTATTTGATTTGTGAAGCCAAAACTGAAACTCTGAGGCAAAGGAGGCCGTTGATAGAATGTTCAATAAATGCATAAATGAAATTCAATAACCCATCTTTAGATGCCAGGACGGGCGAAGCCAGCTTTAATAATTTTTTTGGGGAGGGGGGGGGGCTTTTAGAAAACAAAAAAAATTTATAATTTAGAAATATTAGCTACCAAATTATGTATAATTATATAAACCTTTTAGAAAATTTTTAAAATGTTTAAAATAAAATCGTATGACATACTTATGTTCTCTCTGATCCTATATATTGTAAGGTACTTTTCAAAAATAAAAGTTGGTCAAAATTATAAAATACTCAATTAGAATATCAAATGATACTCCATTTTTACTCCCCATAATTTTAATGATTTTTTGTAACTTGAACACGGCATGATGAGCTTCTCTTTAATTAATAAGGGTATGAGAGAACTATTAAGATATTTTTTAAAAAATAAAATAATCCAATAATTTTTTTAATCTACATGTAAAAAATATTGAGAAGTGTACATGAAGGGGTGAAGGGAGTGAATTCCCTTTGAATCACAGTATGATGTATTTGCTAAAAGCTCTGCTTAGTCTAAAACACTTGATATTTGGTAATTTTTATAATTATTTTTTCAACTACACTCCTATTTTTTTTACTTTTTTTTTGAAAAAAATTATGTATTGGAATGTCAAATATCATTATTGAAACACTTATATAAAATATTTAATGAGTGAATAATTAAAAAGATATGCTCCCTCCGTTAAAAAATATAAGGCATTTTTTGAGAAGTTAAATATTAAAAAATATAAGGCATTTTTAATCTTTCGAGGTGTAATTATTATTTTTTTTTCAAAAGTGCCTCTATTGATAATAACTTTATATTTATTATAGGGTATTTATTAAAGGTAAATATAAAAAGATAAGATTAGTTAAAAAGTAAATAACTATTTTATTGAGGGGTGAAATTTGATTAAAAATGTTTTATATTTTTTAACAGAAGGAATATAATTTTTTAAAAGATTAAGATTTTAACTAACTTTTTTTTTAAAACTATAACACTATTAATGTCACATATTATAGCCTAGAGAGATATATATATATATATATATATATAATTTGTGTATTTGTATGTGTGCGTATAATATGGGAGATTATTTTAATTGTGCATGGTGTTATGTCTATACCCCCTCCCTCTCATCCCATTCCGGCACTCCCTCACTGCTCACGTGCATCTCATTCCGCCCCTGGATGCCAGTATTCATAACGTGGAGAAGAAAGTTCCCGGAAGGAACAAGAAAGGTCTGACATATGGCAGGGAAATGAACTTCAGAAGTTTGGCTTTTATGGTAGAAAATGATGTTCCCTTACTGGCCCGCAGGGCAGGGTGACTATTATATAACTCTAAGAATTTTGCTCTAAAGAAGTTCAGGTGAGAGAAGATGACTACTTTCTTTATTTAAAAATATAAAATATTTTTAATTAAATTTTATTTTTTAATAAAATAATTACCTACCTTTAAATTAATTATATCTTTTTATATTTACTTATATTAAATACTTTATAATAAATATAAAGTCATTATTGATATGAATATTTTTGAAAAAAAGACAATAATTTTACCTGAAAAGGTTAAAAATATTTTATATTTTTAAATGTTTAAGTTTTAACTTCTCAAAAAATATCTTACATTTTTAAATGGAGGGAGTATTTTATAGCCAATATGTTTTTAGCTTCCCTGTTGGAGTGTTTATTTAAGGGGGGAAATAAGAACACCTTGAATTATTATCATTGTTATTTTACATTTATGTAATTAAAAAAAGATGATTCTATGACATTTGTTTTTGTTTTTATATCTATAATCTTTTTTATCCTTTTTTTAAAATATAATATTTGTTTATATTTATTTTTATAAATGAAAAGTATCCGAGTTGATGGGAGTGCGAAGTGACAAAGCGAGGAATCCATCTTCACATCCTAATATTGAATTATTCATGTGTGGAAAGGGAAGTTGTTGGAAGCTACGAGACGTTAGTGCAAGGTTCAAGTTGGATGAAGGCAAACCTTTATGGAAGGCACTAGTTTCCGCATTCCAAGCTTATATATATACATATTATTAATTTCTCTCAAGCTTATGCACAATATAAAAGGAGTAAAAACTTATCTGCACCATGCACTATACAAAGATGGATTCCGAACAATGCAAGTTTAGGGTAGGCGTTAGTTCCACATTTCAACAAGGCGCTAGAAACGAAGGAGAAATTTAATTGCCAACTTTCCTAGAAAGAACAAGCACTGTGAAATCCTAAGGCACCAGCAGGAAGCGCCAAATAAGTGAATTTTCATCGTTGAAGTCCTCAATTGTCTTGGAGAGAGACAGTCTTCATCCATTCAGAGTCCTGAACAGAGGGAAGCATATAACTTTCAGCGCCATAATAAAACAAATCTTGCTCTTAGAGAAATACTGTCATAGATAAATATGTGGAAAAATTGACAGGGTAAGAGATAAGATGCTCTGGAAAAACTAACAAACATGTTAAAGGAAATTACCGATTCATTAGCAGGATTACCTCTAATAAAAAAATACCTGTGAACAATAAAAATAATTACAAACTCATTTGCGTAGAAATATATTATGGTTTCTGGAAAAGGAAAAAAAAATGGAACATCTATAAACTTAGCCAAGGACTAAAATAAACTAGGATATAGTGCTGCTTTTTATTCAGTCTAAGCAGCATGGCATTTCTTTTTAATATAGTCAGATTAGAGATTAGACTTAAAATTTAATTGTAATGACAGAAATTTGTATCATTTAATTCGCTGGGCACGAACGTTCTGCTTTCCATATGAAGCCGTGGAACATGAGCTATTTTGTGCCAATCCTCCCCCTTTTCTTCCTCACATCGCTTCAGTAACTCAGGACAAGCATAAATTTCTAAATTTTTCAAACTGCCAAGGCATTGAATGCTCACTGGGAATGACATTATCCTGGGGCAAATGGAAATAAACAATGATTTAAGTGACTTGAGGTTTCCTAACCAATCAGGCAAGCATGTTAGGTTTGGAAGTTCATATATAGATGGAGATTGCAGGGTGGAAATATGCTGTAACGCCTCAGGGAAACATTCCACCAAGGGGCAGGTATGAATTCTTAGATCCTCAAGAGAAGTGAGATTTTGAATACCTGCAGAGAATTTGAACTTAGGATACCAGCAAAGTTTCAGTCTTTTGAGAGGGTGCAAGCCTTGCAACACTGGCTCTGCTAGGGGCTCAAGTCTACAGCATTGCACAATATGCAATTCTTCAAGAGACTTAAAGCTAATGACTTCCTTTGGAAGTGCTTCGAGTTTGGTGTAGTTCAAAGTATGGAGTTCCTTGAGGCAAGCAAGGCCTCCGAGCATCCCATCTGGGAAAGTAGTCAATGTATTATTATAAAGAAGCCAAAGTGTTTGAAGACTGGGAAGATTATAAATTGAGCTAAATAAAGATTGGTTGTGTTCCTCTGTAATTCTTAGAAAAGCTACAGATCCAAGGTAGGGTAAGGATTCCAATTTAGGACATCTAGAGATTTCCAGAGTGGAAAGACATGGGAAACTATTTTCGACATCCTCTTTAGATAATTTTATGAGGTTTGGTAAACTTCCAACTCTTAGATACTACAAGGCTTCGAAACCACTTGCAACTCCATCATCATAGGTCATCATCTATGTATTGCACATAGTTCAATGATTCTAACCCTAGTTTCCTCAGAGAGGGAAGTTTCCCCAGTGGTGGAGTGCATAAACAGCTTTTGCAGCCAACAAGTTCTATATGGTATAAATCTTTGAAGGTAGGACTGGCCGTTCATTTTGGGAATTGAACACCCATATATCCTGTCACTATCAAAGTTTTAAGCTGTGCATGGGGTTGGAGCTCTTCAAGAATTTGCTCCACATTTTTCTGTGACCGTGATCCTTCATTTCTTTCCCATGATAACCCGAAATCGTTCAAGTTCTTGGCTGCTAGATTTGCTTCTTTGGCATCCATCACACTTGTTACCCTCTCCAGGTGCTTGATGTAGAGCTCCCCCTTGAGATTCAAGCTTCCTAATTCTTCCAAAAGGAACCCTTTTTTATCAAGAACAATGTATATATTTAATGTCCGTAAGGAAGTTAGCTCACCCATCTCAGGGGCCAAGATGAATAATGATCTACATTGTTCCAAATATAGATGTCGGAGAGCTTTTAAGCATTTCAGGTTGTTAGATAATGTCATGAGAAGATAACAATTCTCCAAATTCAAAATCTGTAAATTCTGCAACATGCAAATGGAATCAGGAAGCATTTGAAAAGTGCCGTTAGAAAGGTTCAAGTACCTTAAATGTTTAAGGTGGCCAATTGAAGATGACAACATTCCTTGGCTCATGAGTGAGAGCACCCTCAAAGAATGACATTTCAGCAAATCATTAAGTGTCAAATGATCATCATACTGGATTCCTGTGAAATATGTCTTTGAGGATTTGACTTGTTGCAGATGGATTGAATCACGCCCAAAAAATCCCTCAGAGCCATAAAATGAAAGATGGCGGGTTCTCACAGATAAATTAGTTGCACCAGCATCATCTTTAATGCAGTGGCATTCCTCTTCCATGATAGACTGGGCGAGATCATGAACAAGATCATGTATCTTGAACCTTGTAATGTTGCCAAATTTATCCATCTCGACATGTTGGAAGAAAGATCTTGACTACAATTCATTCAAGGCCTCATTAGCAACGTCTTCCACTTCTAACATCTCATTTGAAGACATGAAGCCATTAGCCATCCAAAGTCCAATTACAAGTTGCTTACTTATTACTTCATCCTTGGGGAATAATGCAAATAAGGCAAAACATTGTTTCAACTTTACAGGTAAGCTCAAATAGCTTATTTTTAATGCAGGCATGATAGTATTATCGTCTAGTGGTGAACTCCAAAGCTTGCTTTCCAAAACATAGAGCCAGTCCTTTTCCTCATTTTTAAAGCGCACCAAGCTTCCTAGGGCCTCAATTGCAAGAGGCACTCCCTTGCACTTCTTCACTATCTCCTTTCCTATGGCCACAAACGCTGAAAGTTTCTCCTTGTCTGGTCCAAAAGCTTGTCGTTTAAACATCTTCCAACAATCATCTTCAAATAACATTGATAACTGATGAGGAGGCATTGTTCTAATGATGCTTGTAATCTTTGTAAGATGAGCACTGACCAAAATTGAAGCACCCTTTGACCCACAAGACAATATATATTTGAACCTATCCCATTTCTCTTTGTCCTCATTGCATACATTACCCAGAACAAGCAAATACCTCCTTCCTCGAAGCATATCTTGAAGGCGTCTCTCCAGTGCCTTTGGATCTGAATCTTCATAGTTCCGCCTAGATGCTGATTCTATTATAGCTTTTGAGATTCTGTTCAAACTGAAATCTCTTGGAGCACGCACCCAGATACTTAGCTCAAAATGATTAACCAACCTCTTATCATTGAAGACAAGTTGGGCAAGTGCAGTCTTTCCAAGACCACCTATGCCTACGATGGGATAGATTGACACGTCATCAGAATTTGATGCATGGCCAACAAAAACTCTACAATCTTTTCTTTATCTTCTTCTCTTCCATAGACTTGAGGTCTGGTAATGTTTAAGGTGGTACAGCGCCATTTCATGTCTGTTTTTGCCTCTCAGTAACAGTCACGCAAATGAAACTTGATCCTTTCCACAGCAATTTCTTCTAATCTCTGCTTTATCTCTTTCATTTTCTTGGCAATTTATGTCGGAAGAAAATGAGCTTGGGATGAAAATAGGAAAAGAAAGAGCATTGTACCTTGTCTCTTGTTCTATAAAGCAGTCCTTGAGATTCCAAAACAAGAGCTTCAGTCGAACACCCATCCAAGATGTCATCCAACAAGTGAGCTGCATCTTGAAGCTTGTAAAGCCAATTCTTGAGAGCTTTGTTTGTGAGTTGCTTGTCCTCAGCATCTTGAGGCACGGCCCTGATTTCAGTGAGAGTGTTGGAAAACATTTTCATTTCTTGATTGACACGCAGAATCAATCCAAGCTCATTTTGAATGAGTGAGCCCAAATTCTCAAGGGCAACTTCAAGCACAGACTCGGCCATCGGATAATGAAGCAGTAAACCAGAGGGCAGATCGGTGATGAATCGAATTGTGATATGTAAAATTAATAGGGAATCTCACAGGGTGGAGGGAAGAAGGCAATGTGTTACTGGAATTAAATAATCCATCTTCAGATGTAGCATTGACATTCGGAATAAGGTTCTTGGAAGCAACCGATGGGATAGAAAATTAATAATAATTCAAGTATGTCTAACAGAGTAGCTAGTCACTTGAAACATGATAAATCAATGTTAGAAACTCTCGTTGAAAGAGATGCTTATATTTAAAAGAAATGATAATAAAATTCTTTTAAATTATGTAAATGATATTTTGATCCTTCAAAAGATTGTAATTTTCTTGAAGCCCTTAAAGATTTTTCTATCATTAAGAAATTAATATAAATAACCAAATTGCTCTCAATTCAGGATTTCAAATGCGCATTTGTGAATTGCCATTGCATTCTTGTGATTTTAAGAAAAAAAGTTGTGAATATGAGAATAAAACTTGTAGATGACAATTGATATTTGCAACACTGAAAGAATATCAGGATTTCAAATAAGAACTTGTGAATTGTTATAAAATTCTGGTGATTTTTTAAAAAAAATTATGAATTTTAAAACAAAACTTATCAATAACAATTAATATTTGTGTGAACATTATATTTTGTCTGAACATTTTTTTAAAATTTAATAAAAATAATAATAAATCACTAAAAAAATATAAAAATATAAAAACAAAATTTAATCCTTTTTAAGATTGTATTTTAAAAAAAGTAATAATAATTCAACAAAATTTTACTTAAATTTTAAAAAAAATCTCTCTAAAATTATTCTAACCATTTAAGATATTAGGAACTAATTTTTGAAAGTTAACTTCTTTTAAATTTTTTTTTAAATTTTGTTATCTTTCCATATATATATATATATATGCTTGCTTCAAAATTAGATTTATTTTTTAATTTTTAAAATTAGTAAACATGATTAAAAAGCAAAAAAAAATAAAAAAAAAAAGAATTATAGTTTTTTTTTAAAAAAAAATAATACAATAATATAAACCGATGGGTTAAACCTTAACCCATCGGTTTCAATATTTGTCTACCCGTTTCAGCACTGTATGCAGAAGAAGAAAACTCAGAAAAGAAGAGGGAAGTAGACACACAGCCACACACGCAAGACTGAAGAAGTCAGATACCACACGCAGAAAAAACAGAGGCAGACGTCAAAAATGCAGAGAAACAGAGATGAAGAAAGAGAGACGAAGAACGAGGGAGAGGGAAGCAAACGCGGAACAAAAAAAAGGAGAACCAGAGCACACACGCAAGCACTCGGTCAGGCACAAAAGGAGAGTCACACGGCAACAAAACTAGAGCAGGAGGAAAATGGCTTTCGCCGGCGCATCAGAAGGAGGAAAGAAGAGTCACGCAAAAATGAAAACCAAAGCCAGAGATGAGAGAGCTTTCGGCACACACGCAGAAAATGCAGCGGAAGAGAAGGGAAAAGCAAGAAGCAGAGCAGGTGAGTAATCGTTCATCCCTTCTATTCTCTATATAAGGCTGGAGAAATTGGCTGAAAAGGGAGGGGACTGAGAGACGAGCTTTTCTTTCTGAAAAAAAAAGAGAGAGAGAAACGGAGAGAGGAGACGACCGAGAGACTGAGAGACGAGTGTTTTCTAAAAAAAATAGAGATAAGAAAGAGATCAGGAAATTGATGAAGAAAGGACCGAGGATCTGAGATTTTGCTTCTACTTGGGGAGAAAACGTGAGAAGGATCGAGGAAGAAGAGGATTTCTGAAGGACCGAGGACTGGTATCTCCTTACTGCAATAGGTTTGAGAATTCATTTTTGTGATTTAAATTCTCGTTCTGCCTCTTGATTTCACTTCATGTTCTACTCTATGAAATTTGATTTGCTGGGTGTTTGTTTTATTCAGAGTTGTATGAATTGAAAGGCTGAAACCATTTTTTCGAATATTTGCTAAGTTTGCTTGTTGTAAGCCTGATGATCGTATTCTATTAGCCGATTACTCTGGGTTTACATGAATTATGTATGTTTGTGGGGTGTGTTTAAGATGTCAACAAAAATATGACACAAGAAAGTTGGCACATCTGAAATTAGTAGATGTATGTTGCTAAAATCTGGTCCTATATTATGAGTTTGAATATTTAAAATTGCTAGTATGCTTACATGATTTGGCTATCTTGAAAATTTTTAAGAAGTTATGAATCGTGCTGCTTTATTTTTTAACAATCAAAATGTTATATGAAAATATTTAGGTAATAAACGTTTGAAGCTTATGGTTTTAACTTGAATATGTTCGGCTTTAAATAATAAGGTGTGGTTTGAACTCATTCTCCCTAGAGGTTAAAGTATATACTTGTCTTACAACATTTTGGGGCTTTTTAAAATTTAGGAATTAGCCTTTATGATTAATCTCAGAAGTTTCACTTTATGTTGTTTGAACAATGTTAGCTGCAGTTGCCTATGTTGTTGGTAACTTAAGGAAAATGTATTTTTTTAAATTACACTTGGTTGTTTCTTGAGCCATAATTATAAAGATTGCTAGGCCGTTTAACAATTAAAATTTAAATATGCATGAATGTGACCATGTGTGTTTAATAGACATAACTTCAATTGTCTCAAATAAAATTAGTTGTTTGAAAATCATGTAAGTTTTTATAATTGATTAAAATGATTTCATACTATGTAAATCAATAAGATTTCATAGGCATGAAGATCAATCTTGTAGGTTAATATGGGTTTCAAAAGCCCATCATTAAAATTAGCTCTCTTTTCATAATTCAAATTAATAATTTATTTAAGTTTCATGTGAGATTTCAAAAATCTTTATAGAGACTTAAATTAATTATATCATCGTGTGGGATAATAAGTCCTCGTAAATGTAGTGATCTTCAATTTTTATAATAAATAAATGATTTTTGTAAATAATGATATAATACACAATTTAAAAAAATTAATTAATCAAATTAATGCATTGTAATCATATTTATTGATTATATCTTTTAGTCATGTGAGATTTTTGAATTTTCATAGGCTTCTAAGATAATCGTATTATCGTATGAGTCAATAAGACCTTGCAAATATAACGATTAAGTTTTAAAGAAATATATAAATTATATATTAAATTAATTAAATTAAAAATATATTTAAATAAATTTAATTCTTTTATCGTGTGAAATTTTAAATTTTTTACAGATATTTAGAATAATCATATTATCATATAAGTCAATAAAACTTTGTAGGTATGACGATTAAAATTCTTTAAAAAACATATATATATATATATATATATACACTTAAATAAATTATTACTAACACTTAAAAATATAAATAAATTAAGTTGTTAACTCTTTTATCATGTGAGATTTTTGAATCTTCACAGATATTTAGAATGATTGCATTATCGTATGAGCCAATAAGGCTCTGCAGGTATAGCAGTTAAATTCTCAATCATAAAATATAAAAAATAATAATCTTAAACTCTTTTCTTTCCTTATTTCAAAAATTTAAAAATTAAGAAAATAATTAAAATTAAGTTACTCTTGCAATTTAAAGCACACATATCAAAATTTTAAAAATTATTTTATTTGTAAAATGATGAATTATTTTTAATTAATTTCTCTTCAAAAAAATATTTTCACCAACAACTTTTAAGCCCAAACTACATGGACTTTGATCTCCATCACAAAATACGTAGGCCTCAGAGTCAAATTTTGAGTTAAGTCCTTCCTTGTAAATAAATAAACATTTATTACCTAATTCTTATCATTTTTATATCAAACACATGAATATAAAAAGGATAATTAAAATAATTTTAAAACCATATTAATATAGCACAACAAGCTTCAGGTAACCGTTATGATGAACGGGTGTTGTGGGGTGCTTAACACCTTCCCTACACTCAATCGACTTCCAAACATATTTTCTATTTTCATAGACCATCATTATCCTCCTTTAAATAGTTTCCCAAGATTTAACTCAAAATTTTGGTAACGATTACTCGTTCATCCGGTTCTCGCCGTGAAGACTAGAACCTCCGCTCTCGCGCCATTCGCATCGTATTTTCCGATTGCGACAATTTAAATTAAGGACAATTTGATAATTTATATTAATTTTCTAATGACATAAAAGTCCCTATGGACCTCAAAAAAATTATGGCACATTAAGATATTAAAATGTCATTTATATAATTCAAAGAAATTTTATTTTTTATATATTTAATACCAATCATAATTTAAATAATATTATCTCAACAATAAGATACTGTCAGCAATAAAAAAAGAATTTTGAAATTGAAAAGTAGTTTTAAAAGCATATTGACTAGTAGTAATTTTTGCGAATTGGATCAAAACAAAACAATAAAGTCCAAAGTGATGAATTTATGATCGCTAGATGCGGTGAAATTCTCTAAAAATGAATTATAAATATTGAATGCAATTGAAAGTTTGCGGACGCAGGAATCAAGGAAGAAGAGCAGAGGCCAGAGAGCCAGAGATTATTCAAGGCAACGATGCATTACAACCGCAAGATGCAATATTGTGGGGCTTAATTAATTAAATTAAATGCTATTGAAAGTTCATGGAAGCAACCGCACAACACCAAAATGACATTTGATTTGAGATTCCAAGCAAAACTACGTACTTTGTATATAAAAAAAAAACTACTTACTAAATTCTCC